TTATGAAAAAAATATTTTTATCTTAGCATCATTTAATGACAGCCACAAAACACTTATCTTACAAAAATGAACTATAGAAGTATACTACGATAGCAATGTTTGTTGAGTATGCTGGTTAAGAAGTAATTGTGTTAGGATGTGGAAAAGCATGTCTGTGATAGCTTTTGTTAATTAATGTAATTATGTTTGCAGGAAATTGTTCAAGAACATTTCTCTTTATGTAAGCCTGGCCCCGGTAATGTTGCTTAGGTCAGTGTCTGTCTGGTTTATCTTCAGCATAAATGCCACCTCCGTAAATTAAACCTGTCAAGTGACAGCTTTGCCATAGCATGCATAACCAACCTTTAAATTTTATTTATGTTCCATTCCCTTTATCCAGACAGATTAAATTCTCCTTTCCTAAGTTATTTTTGCCTTAGTTCAGACTGCGGCATAATTCAACATGTTCTAGACAATCACATGGAAACCATGGCCCTACTAATTTCCAGTTCCCAGATGATTTTTATTCAGACTACTTAACACCAATAGAGACTTTCTTTCTGAAAATTTAGGAAGAGTTTTCTCAAACTATCTTCCCTCAGGAACCAGTATGTGAATCACTCATAATGATATGCTATGAAAATTCTATGAATTATGGGTTCTTAAGAAGTCCCAGGCTGGGGATGTGGCTCAAGCGGTAGCGCGCTCGCCTGGCATGCGTGCGGCCTGGGTTTGATCCTCAGCACCACATACCAACAAAGATGTTGTGTCCGCCGAGAACTAAAAAATAAATATAAAAAAAAAAAAGAAGTACCTTGCTTAGTCCCGAAGAAATGATCTTTCCAGTATGCAAACTGATAATAGATATTTTCTTGACTAATCTGTCAATATGCATGTTGAACTCTCACAGAAGTAAATACTGTAATTGGCAGAATTACTAGGGTGAAAACACATTCTCACCTAATTCAAAGACTTATATTTAAATTGATTAGAATTAGGCAATCAAAAGTAAAGGAAAAGAAAATGGAAATACAGATTAATTTTTAAAATTATTTCTTAAAATAGACAATATTTTTTAAATTCTTCAAAACTGGCTTAATTTTATAGAGCAAACATTACCTCTAATGGTTTGATTTGATGACTTAATGAGATGTTTACTCCTAATTCATCTGGATTCATTTATGGATATTGATAGGACCCTCCTATATATGAATATATATAAAACACAATAGCTCACACTTGGCTATTGACCTTATATTTTGATCATAGGCTAGATTCCTTGAGAGGCTTATTGTGATAAACTTGATTGCTCATTGTATCTAAAATTCCTGCAGAAATTATAACAAAGCCCTGTTGTTGTATTCTATTAGTCATAAAAAACCTAGTTAAGAGACTCTTGATAAGTAACTGTCTTAAAGGAAGGAATTAGGTTACTTTTTAAAATGTAGCATATTTTACTTTTGAACCATGAACACATAAATTATGTGTTCACAGAAATTTAACCATACTTCACATTTTTTTCACCTTTTTAAAATAATCACAAAAGATTGATTATGGATATAAAATAGGCTGTTCTAAAACAACAAAAAGAAAATAAACTTTAACAATGTTGACAGTAGACATGGCTATAGATCTGGATTTTTAAAACACTTAAACACTCCAGGCACTAGTATCCAGACTCCTACTGGGTTATGGCTCATTGGAGTATTTACCTCTACTAATTATATTTGGTATATCATTATGCTTTGCAAATTAGTATCTTTTTCTGGTTGATATTGCCACATTTGATCTATCATTGCAGTGGTAATACTCTTGCTATATTAAGTGTTCTTTATCAGACTCGGTCTCAATCAATCTGACACTGGAACAAATTAAATCTTCCATTCCTTTCACATACTTAGTGTAAATGAAACCCATACTTACAGGCTATATGCTGTCCTTTTAAGATTTTTCTATTCTCTATCATAATAATAATAATTCTTAATAATAATAATAATAATAATAATAATAATTCTTAATAATAATAATTCTTAATAATTCTTCTCTTCTGCAGTCTTTCATCTCCCATAAGTATCTTTTTTTTCCCCATCAATACTAGGAATTGACCCTAGGGCATTGTACATGCCAGGCAAATATTCTATCACTAAGATATCTACAGGCCTTTTTACTTTACTATGAGACAGGATCTCACTAATGTTGTCCAGGCTGGCCTGGAAACTTCAATCCTCCTGTCTCTACCTCTCAAGTTGCTAGGATTCCAGGCATAAGATCCCAGCAGGGTCTTACTTATAATATGCTTCTAATTTTGCTTATCTTCCAGGTATTGGCTTTCATATTTTGAATATGCTGATGAAAAGTCATGCCTACCATAATAAGATCAAAGACACATGCTTTAAGAGAATTAACTTCCAGTAGAACATCACTTTGAGCAGGAGAGAAATCTTCCATTTTAGAGCCTCTTCTGAAATTTAGAGTAGTCACTGGCTTTCAGAGGTACTTTCTTACTCCTTGATGTCTAGACCACTATTGCAAATATATTAGAGTTCCTCTGCAAATAAGCACAGGTGCTAATGCTCTATAAAGGTTAGTTAGTCGTAGAACAAGGGACCTCCTGATCATTGTTGGGATAGGTTACAGTCCTCTGAAAATCAACAGCTTGAAACAGTTGAACTGAGTGTAGCATACACCCTCAGCATAGCAGTGTGGTTTTTAACCAGTGGCATAGAACACTTATGACAGTTGGCAGAGAGGCAGACCCATGACTATTCTAAAAGAATTTAGTACAATGGTTAGTAAATCTACACTTAAATCTTGTTTAAAATGTGTTCTTATTCTCAATAGTAAAAGCCTCTATTTTTCATCTTTAAATGATATCCTTTTCAAATTAGGACAGTGTGGTACCTCATCTGATAGACTAGACTCCCTATTAATTAATCCACTTGAGAGTTTGAGTCCAGATTTTAAAGCTCAAAGATTACAGATAACTGAATGCTTCATGTCAGCACTGCTGTGGTAATTACAGGATCTGTGGAGCACAAGGATCACAACTTGTGTCACTAATCTACAAGAAAACTAGTTAACACTGATTTAATTTGCTTATCATTAGCTAAATTTATATCTTATCCCACCAAATTTCTTTTCTGAAAAAGTCACTATATTGAAAAAGTTTCACTATTCCAATTAGTATAACTTCTCTGACCAACTTTTGGAGTAAGAGTGGCTAACAGAATATGTAATTTTTTTTTAACTACCATATCATATGTTGTTCAAGCTTTTCATTTATTATGATATTAACTCTGCCCACAATATATCACCAATATCTTCTCCCACTATAAAATGCATATTTACACAAGTTATTTGCCATATGAGTTTTTAATTTTTTATAAATGGAATAATTCTTTTTCTAACTTGAGTACCCCGTTCTGCTTCGTTACCATCCCAAGACTCTTTTTTTTAATTAATATATTATTAGTACTTAAAAATCTTGAAATCTACTCCTTTTATGTTCATTTGTGAAAGGACATTATGTCTCAAGCTCTCTAGCTTTCCTTGACTTAAAGGGATTCCTAGGCAAGCAACTTCTTCTTAAAATGAGGATGAGTAGACATTTATTTCTTTAAAAGTCTGACCTGCTTCTTGTTTTCAAAAGATCTTACTTTGCTTATGGAGTACATGTTTTTAAGAAGGTTGAATAACCATGCAAGTAGTGTCTCTAAATAGAAATTCTAATAAATCTTAAGATGCTACAGTACACTGACCCAGGACACAATTTGATCCCTAAAGCCTTCTCCAATCTAATACTTGGGGAAAACAGCAAACAAAAGGCCTCAGTATTAGAAAACTTAGTTCTTCAAAGCAGGTGAAGGTCTTGTTTATTCCTTCCAGAAAGCAGAGGAGAATGGGTTTGCAGGTTATAAATGACAGTATATTCTTGTATACCACATCACAACTGCGATAAGGCTTTGTTTCTTTTAGGGTCCTAAATTCAGAAGATATTGAAATCCAAAGGACTGTAACAAAAAGGAAAGCTTGGATTTTGACGCAAAGAATCACATCAGTCCTTGACTGAGGATTCTTAGTTGTTAAAAACGCTTCCTTTTAGTAGGGGCTAACCTTTCATTATCTATAACAACACATCAAGTAAGCAACAGTGCAAAGGATGCATGTGATTTCGAAATGCCACAACTGAGCCAACTGTAGTTGCCCTCGGACCTTGTAGGAAGAAGTAACCAAAAAAAAAAAAAAAGTATATATATATATATAGAGAGAGAGAGAGAGAGCCCAGGGCTTTATTGGCATCAAAAGAAACAGTCCCCTGCGTTGGACTGGGTAGTTTCGTGAAGATAAGTTTCTCCTCCCCCACCCCGCCCCCTTGAAAGTGCCTCTGGCGACAACAATTCTTCCGGAACATGCCTAGGGCCGTGGCATTCGGGCTGTTGAGTCACTGGGTACAGCGGTCATGCGACATAAATATTATGTGATGACGGACATCCTAGGAGCGCAGGTGCCAAGGTAAACCTTTGGCAAATATGACTGTGGTTGTGACTTAGACCCAGAGGAAAGCAGGGTTGAGACTTGAAACGCGACTGCAACCTACAGAAACAGTATTTTAAGTTTGAGGCAAACTTCAAGCCTCCCATGTGACACTCCTAGCTGGTTTTAATGATGAGAAACAGGGCTGTCTCGTGATTCCTCGTAATTGCGTGGTTGGAATCTTCCCTTGCCGGGTCCCTACACTTCACCAAGCTTCCAGCATCCTCCAAGTTTCTCCCCTTCCCTTTCCCTCCCCCGCGAAGAGGATGCTCGGGTTCCAGCATTTCGCCATTCATCAACCGGTTCACACCGGTGGCGGCCGCCGTGAGGTGACGTCCACGGCGGGGGCGGGCTCTCGCCCCCGCTTGTCCGCTCAAGGCCCAGGATCCCGGGCCGTGATTGGTGGCCGGGGGTGCGCACGTAGCTCCGGCTATAAAAAGAAGGGCTTGTGACGCAAGGGCGCCTCGGCTCGCGTATTGGCTCCTGCGGCTGCGGGCCGGCTAGGCGACGCGCTCTCCTCGGAGCCGCTCACTGCATGGTAGTCTGGTGCGCCCGCCGCCGCCTGCACCGCCACCGCCGCCGCCGCCCCGCGACGACCACCGCCACCCCCTGCCCTGCAGCCGCCGCCACCGCCGCCGCTTGTATCGCCGCCGCCTCGGGACCGGCTGTATGATTAGGCCACAATCTTCAATGAGTAAACATATTCCTGTGAGTAGTCGTCACGCCGGCGCCTCCGGGACTGGGAATCTGCGAGCGTCCCCCCCCATCCCGCCTTTGCCTTTGTTCAGGGCCCTAACTTAGCTCCCCGCGATCCCAGGCCGTGGCCGGGTTGGTCCCGAGTGAGCTGGCGGGTTACGATCCCGTGGTCGGCCGGTAACGACCGGCTACTGGGAAGCCAACGCCAGGCCCGTGGGGCTGCGGTATGGCGGTTGGCCGCCTGAAGCTTCGACTTCCACGTCCCCGCCGAGCGCCGGGCTGTTGGGACCTTGCGGCCCCACCAGCGCGGCGGGCGGAGGCAGTTTCGACTGCCGCAGCGGGACGGGCGGGGTGGCACAAAAGCCGTTTTGTGACCGCCGCCCGTGCCCTCGGCCCTGGGGCCTGGCCCGCCGGGTTCAGGCTCAGTGGGTTCCGTGGCTCCCGGGGTCCCTTTGTTAAGCTTAAGGAGAGTGGCCGCACTCTAGCGGGAGACGTGGCCCGGGGTGGGGCGAGGGCTGCGCGTGTCACTGCGGAGCCGGATACCGGGAGGGCGCGGTGGCGGCGGGGTCGCCACCAGATCCGGGCCGGAGTGGGGTAGGCGGGGCGGCCCAGCGCGGCTGGTAACGGTCTCGGCCCAGAGCTGTCGGGGGCTGGCGCGGGACAGGAGTGTGGTGCAGCCACTCCCATGCTGCGAGGCCGGGACCGGAGCCTCAGACAAAATGGCCTCGGCGCCCGCGCCTTCAGTCAGGCGCGGCGCGAACCCGTGATTGCGGCGCGGAGAAGGGGCGAGGCGAGCGGGCGGGCCCGGGCGCGCACCGCCGCGTGCGTCGAGTGGCGGCCATCAGGGGCATTCCGGGAGCTTCCCTGCTTCCCGGGCCCAGCTCAGTTAGGTGAGGACACCGGCGCCCCGCCCCGCCCTGCCTTCTCCGGTCTCCACCTGGTAATTCGAGCTGTTCCGGATTTAACGTCCCACCCTCAGGCCCTGGATAATTGGAACAAGTCGAGTCTTGCCCTTTCTCTGGGCCACTCGTCAAGATAAATGACCTGGGTCTGAGCACTTTGGAAAGTGCCAGGGCTACTGAAGCGAAGGCGCCCCGGGCTGGGCACCAGCACGCATTTTTCCTGCCAATCTTGAAAGGGCCCTGGATGGCGCCTTTTAATCGGATACTACTTAGAATTGTTCTTGAAGTCCTTGCTTGTAATGTGTGGGTGACTCCTTTTGGCTTGTGGCAACAGTAGCCAACCAGAGCCAGAATTCTAAAGTTTATATTCTGTCGACGGAACTTGCTACAATTCCAAGAGTATTAAGTGTTTATACTGTAGTTGGAATCCTCGATCGGCTTGAGATCCAGATTCGTGAGAGTGCTTCCTGTTATTCTCTTTATGTGTGTTTTGTCTGATGCTAGTTGAAAACCCGAAAAGTAGATTCAAAAGTAAGTGGCATTTTATACACGCTTTATTAGGTGTGATACCTGAAACCTAAGAACATAGTCTCAACGAATTTTTTGGCAAAGCGGTTGGTTCTATAGATTGACTTGATTCTGCAATCTGATAAACTGACTTAAGCTTCTATACAAAAACTGCTCTCTTCTCCCTCATGTATATTAGATTGAGTGCAACTGAAATGTGGAAGGATATCCCTTTGTTTCTGAACTGACTATCATGGAGAGGTTTTTAGGTTTTTTGGTTTGTTTGATTTCCCTGTGAGGAGGAAATTGAGAATAGGGGGATGTCTTGGACTGAATAGAAAGATGACCGTGGTCACCCTGCTTTAATTGAAGTGTCCCCCCAGCCACTGGGTGGCTCCACAGTAAGAATAACTAGTACAGGAAATGAATTCTATATTGTTTTTCCCACTTTCTTTGAAACTACTTAAAAGCTTTACAGAGGTCTTTAATTCATTGTGTATTATCTGAAAAGTGCCAGAATGCTCCTATTATATCTAATTTAGGACTTAAGGTGAAATTAGATTACTACAGTCTGTGTTCATTGTAATGGTGATGTCTTCCTTGGTAATTTAGACAATTTTTTCTTAACCCAGCTGGCAAATACATGAAGTAACCTCCAAAGACTTATTAGAACAGTCTTGGACTAGGCATGGTGATATACACCTGTGATCTCAGGGACTCTTGAACCTGAGGCAGGAGGATGGCAAATTCAAGACTAGTTTGAGCAAATTAGCAAGATCCTAAAGGGCTGGGGTAATCTAGCTTAGAGGTAGAGCATCCCTGGGTTAACAAACAAAACTTTGGGAATTTTTAATAAACCCAACTCCTTGTGCTAAATCCTTTGTTTTAACAGAAAAATAAACTAGTTGTTTAACTTGTTCTTTTTTGTGATCACATGAATTCTTTGAAATTTAGCTGTAGTAAAGAAACTAGCACGGGCTCTATTTAAAGGTATAACTGAGTATGGAAGTAGACACTTCCATTTAGTTTTAAGCCTTTTAAATATTTCAATTTAAGCATGGAAAGCTAATTTGAGCCATTTTTGTTATTGTTACAAGGTTTTGTTGAGGTAAATTACTCTTTAATACATTTTGTTTGGGTCAGTAGCTCTCATTTAGAGCTCTTGTTAGCTTGTTATTAACATTTTCCTTATTCCATTCTTTACTTCCAAGTACACAATCTGCTTGGAAATAAACTAACATTAACATTATGTACATATTAAACTAACATTATGTACATATTCTGAAAATATCCTGTTGAGTATTCATTTAATTTTGATACTGGTATAAACCTGATTTAAAAGAGAACTTTTGTGAAAAATAGACATTATCTTGCTTTGAGACCTATGGAAAAACTCTTAAGGTCCTTTCTACCACCCAACCACTGGTACCTACCTCTGAATTAGATTTGAGGTTTAGGCCAGCTAAGGGAAGTTTTGGTTTTAAAATACAAGAAAGTATTAACATTATGGATAGTTTATAAATACAAAAGGAAAACATTTTGTTACTTCACAGTTAACTTCCCAAGAATTATTTTCCTACAATCTGACATATTGTTGACATAATGGAAATGAGAAGTCCATGAGATTGTTAAGATAAAATGAGATAATGTGTGTGGAAAAACTTTGAAAACAAGTCCCCTTTTAAGAGCCAGTTAATTTTCTTCTAGACAGAGTAATGTGAGCTGTGTGTGAACTATCTCATTTTATTTTTACTTCAGTGTATTTTGAAACTTAAAGAGGAAGAAAGGATAGCACAAAAGGAAAATATAGGTGTGACTTCAGATTTTTTTCACATTTAAGAACTAAATCTTCAAGGGCAATTATTGAGAAATAATTACATAAAGAAGTTTTTTTATATTTAGAAAGGTCCATACAATTGACATCTCCCCCTCACCCCTTTCAAAAATATCTTACTAGGGCTGGGGTTGTGGCTCTGTGGTAGAGCGCTCATCTCACATGTATGAGGCACTGGTTTCGATCCTCGGCACCACATAAAAAAAAATAAATGTATTGTGTACATCTACAACTAAAAAAAAATATTTTTTAAAAAATGTCTTACTAAATGTTAAATACAAATGCAAAAAATGAAAAGCAACCTGTTTTTTTCAGCACATATGTAAGAAGTTGTACATATAGGTCATAACAATTAAAACAGTCATATATTGAGAAATAATTAACAGAAGAATATATATAAAGAAATTTTGCCAAGTATAACTAATGATTTTAAGGAATCTGTGAAATCTAAAGGGTTTATGAGTGCTTGTTTTAGGCTTATTGGTTTACATTTGATTCAATTAATAGTTGTACACTTAAATACTATAAAAGTGAAACATGTTTCTTCTGAATTGGAAAATAACTTTTTCTTTCTTTCTTTCCTTTTCTTTTAAACAGCAGTTCTGTGGTGTTCTTGGTCACACATTTATGGAGTTTCTGAAGGGCAGTGGAGATTACTGCCAGGCACAGCACGACCTCTATGCAGACAAGTGAACTGTAGAAATTCATTACTACTCCACCAAGAAGCCCCCATAAGAGTGGTTAACCTGGACACAGACGTATTGAATTGAAAATCCACCGAGCATTTTACAAGAGTTCTGACCTGGATGGGGTAAACCTCAGTGCACTTCCTTTCTATTGCCTCAGTATTACTGGATTGAAGAATTGCTGCTTCTTGTTAGGAGGTTCATTTCATTTCCCATTACTCCCAACTTCATACTCAAAGCACTGAGAATATCAAGTGGAGTATATTGAAGTAGACTTCAGTTACTTTGCATCATTTCTGTATTCAATTTTTTAAATTCTTTCATAACCCTATTGAGTGTTTTTTAACTAAATTAACATGGCTCGAATGAACCGCCCTGCTCCTGTGGAAGTCACATACAAGAACATGAGATTTCTTATTACACACAATCCAACCAATGCAACCTTAAACAAATTTATAGAGGTAAGATTTACTACATTATGATGTCTTAAATTGATTGTAGTTTAATAGTGGGATTTTTGTCTATTATTTTTTAAGATAAGAGATGGCATACCTATAGTTCCAGTTCCCAGAAATGAAATATCATTAGTTTGGGATAAATTGCTATAAAAATTTTGAGAAAGAATATACTTAATTTAGAACTCATAAATGAATAGTTCTTCAGGTTGGCCTATGTGTAGATAAACCCGGCACAAATGGTATACACCTGTAATTCCAATGATTTGGGAGATTGAGGCAAGAGGATCACAATATAATAGTGTAGTCTTCACTTTTCTTCTAAGTAATTTTATAGGGGAAGGCTGCCATGTTTGGATTTTTTTTTTTTTCATATGTCCTCTTAGCATCATGCTATAAACCATATAGATTGTCTTGGGCCCCACTTGATGCTTAGAAGCTACTGATTCTGCTGCTTTCTGATGACAGTTTTGTGGTCAGTCCTGTTTAATACCTGTCTCAGCATCAGCTTCTTTTTACTAGGAAGGAAGGAATATAATGCTGGTTAATTTATCTAGACATACACATTTTGTTTCATACATATCTATAGGTGTACAAAAACAGCAAGTAGGCCACTCAGATCATAGGAAAATACCACTTGTTTTTGTAATGTTAGGAGAATTATAATGAGTAGTAATGTATTTTAAAAGCTGTGGTGTTAAGTGATAAGGGTATTTTAAAAAACTATTCTTAGGATTTAAGAGTTTTTGCATATACTTTTAAGACTGATTTAGTTCCATGTTAAACATAGATAGGAGGTTCTACTGTTCTTCATGATGTTTTGTTAACCAGCATTCTCAGTGATCAGAAATTATCAAAATGGCAAATGATGAGTAATAGTAATACAATTATGAAGATCTCATTAGGATTTTTTTAAATGTATATTTTATCCAGGAACTTAAGAAGTATGGTGTTACCACAATAGTAAGAGTATGTGAAGCAACCTATGACACTACTCTTGTGGAGAAAGAAGGCATCCATGTTCTT